AAAATGGGTTTTTTTTTCCTATCTTGAAAATGTTGTTGTGAATACACATACTGAAGTGGTAAATACATATAAAACTGTTGTAAATCCATATACTAAAGTTGTAAAATTCTCCCTAGATGCTTAAGCAAGCCGTCCAACCAAAGTGTAAGGAGGTAAGAAACTAGGTGGTTAACAGGTATACCTGAATTGTTAAAATATTATACTAAAGTTGTTAAACGCTTAACTGATGTTGTAAAAGGAGGATTTTTTTTCAATCATGAAAATGCTGTTGTGAATACCGATACTGAAGTTGTAAACATATATAAAGATATTGTTAATCGATACATTAGAGTTGTAAAATTCTCCTCGCACGCTTAAAATTCTCCCCGGATGCTTAAAATTCTTCTCTCTCTTCTCTCCTCTTCCCCTTCAATTGACTCCCACAATGTATTCCTTTGGTCCTTTTTTTCTTTTCTCTTTTCCACGATGACCACAGCACTACCAACGTGCCCTTCCTTCTTCTCTTCTCTCTTCTTCCACGGTGACCACAGCAACACGAACGCGCCCTTCCTTCTTCTCTTGTCTCTTCTTCCACGGCGACAACTTCTCCTCCGCTCCCTTCTCCTCTCTTTTCCGTTCTTCACCATTTCAACTAAGCATTCCCAAGTTAAACCGCGCCTCTCTCCCCCTGCTTTTGTTTCAAATAATACAAAGGGTAGTTTCGTCTTTTCATTTAACAAGATAATCCCAATTTGGTCTCATGTGACCAAAACAGGATTTTCCAAATTGGGCGGATGTTTCTGTCATTTTAAAGTTAAACTGTCATTTTTCTGTCTTTTTTCCACAAAAAAAAAAACATGCGATTAATAACAGAATTTAGTGATAGGATTTTTATCCACATGTCACTACCACATAATTCTTCCTCAAAGTGACTTTTCCATGGCTTGAACCTATGACCTCATCTATCCGTGCTTGTGGCTTTATCAGTTGAGTTGCGATGAACATATTAACTTATTATGTAAAATTATATATATAATATTCTTTTACACAAACATTTATATATATTATTAAAAACTAAAAATAAACTATATAATAATTTTAATCATAACTATTTTAATGAAAAAATAATTTTTAAATATAGTTTTTTTTATTTTCTAAATTTATTTTTTATAAAAATTTTAATATAATTTTGATTTCCAATGACACTAATTTTGAATTTTAAATCGTAAATATTTTTTTCATTAATATGTTTTTTAAATTTAATTTTTTAATTAACATTGCTAAGATATATAATTTAGTTATATATGTATTATATTATATTATATTATCCATATGTCTTTTATATATTTGATGAAAATTATTCATAATTAGAAAAAAATCTTGTTATTCAAAAAATAACTCCTATAATAAAATCTAATAAATTATTCTATATAAAAAAATTGAATGATTTGAATAGATTATGATAAACAATATTCTCCTACTTATATATGTATCCTATATATCTTATTTTCTTAAAATTCTTTGTAAATACCATTTGTTTTTTATTGAAGACCAAAATCAATTTATATCATGGGTATTAATTATATCATGATTAAATTTTATTGTTTAATGAATGAAATTCAAAATTCACTTCAATATTAGTTTGATTTATAATTATAAATTGAGATGTTCATATAAATTCATTTTTCAATTTCAAATTTCTATCATATATTACATCTTTCAATATATTGTACATATTATAAAATTATTTCTTACTTATATCAATTTGTATAAGAAAGTTATTAATATTATTATTATATTTTTTTAATTATTATTAATTGTCAAGAGGAATTGATTTTAATGAAATGTAAATAATTTTTTAAGAAATTGTCTTCTTATTCTCAGTATGTATCTAATGATGACATAAATGATAACATCATGATGATACCTTTATTAATATCAACTCCACAAGTGTATCAATTTATTTTACAATTGAAAATATATTCAAATCATTATATTCTTAATTATATTGTTATATAAATTGTTATAAGATTATAATCTAAAATAATAAAATTTAAAATTAGTGTTGGGTAGCGACGGAATTGTGACAAAATAGAATTAGTGACTGAAACTTCCGTGACAAAACAATTTAGCGACAAAAATTAACAACGGAATTTTTCCTTTGCCATTTCGTCGCTAAAAGTTTTACGATTAAAATTAGCGATGGAAATTTCTAACTGAAAAAATTTCCATCGTTAAATATTTATTGACAAATTTTTGTCTATTAGTAATCCGTTGTTGATTCAATCACCAAATTTAATGACAAAATTTTTCTTAATAATCCATTAGAAATTAGCGACAGAATAATTTTTTATCTGCAATTCTGTTAGTAATAAGTTGTTTTTTTGTAGTGGTATCTTCTTTCAGCTCCTCATTGAACTTTGCATTTTCCTATGCTATTCCCATCAATCTTGTTATTTTTGCTGGGTATATCTACAATGACTTTATCACTCATTTTGCGTGATGGGGTTGGTTGCTTGCGTCACATTGAATAAAATTTTCATAAGTGAATACGTCATAGGGTGAAAGTTGGAACACATTTCATGTTTACCAAGAGATGATTATGTATTGCTCATCTTATCTGTAATATTTACATTAATTCGGATAGTCTAGATTCAATTTGTTCATGAGTAAATTTTAAATAAGTATCACATTTAAATTTTAAGAAAACATAAATAGTTTGTTTAATTATTTTTTTATTCCAAATATATTTTAGGACATTAAAATAAAATATTAAAACACAATACAAGTTGATTAAGACTTTAAGGTTTTAAAGATTTTAAAAACATATAATAAAAGCAAGCATCACGTAAATTATGCATTAAAAAATAACAAAGAGTTTTAATATCATTTAAAGGGTTTTGACCATTTAAAAGGATTTGATACCATTTGAAAAATTCTGATACCACTTGAAAATTTGTGATTTAAAAAATTTAATGTCCCTAATAAAAATTAAATGAGATAATAGGATGGAATGTATAATTAAATTTTCTTTAATGCGATATTATTTTAAAAATAATATAAAAATATAATTTCAATTATTTAACTTCATAAAAAAATTACTTATAATTTAATATGATTGAGAAGCCAAATGTTTAATGAGCTTTTGTGTCCCTCTTCCCCTCCTTCCTCAAGATTGTTTTTATAGTTGGTCCTAACTTTGCTTTAAAAATGAAGCAAAGCAAAATAAAAAAATTCAAAAAAATTCAACCTTTACATTTTAAAATGTAAAATACATCTAAAAATGAGAAATTATAGCAAACATCATAGAGGGAAAATGTGTGTTAAATATTTTAGAAATAAGTAATTTAGCTGGCCTAAAATGACATTTTGGCTAAATTTTCAAACCATTTTAATGTGGGCATAACAATTTTTAAGATTTTTAAAATTAATTTAGTCAAGTAACCTTATGCATAGAATCAATAAGAATTTGGTCCATAACAATTTATTATTCAATTTGCAATTTTTTTAAGAAAATGTTTTAAAATAAGATGGGTTAGCCCTCCTATTTATAACCTTCTTATAACAAGTTTGGCTCTAAAACTTCTAAACAATTTTAAGCGACTTGAGCAAAACTTTTTTAGAACTTAATGATTCTAATTTTTTAATTTTTGAACGACTCTAACAATGTAATATATACAAGAGATATGAGAAATATTATTCTTAACTTATTTGGGACAAGGTGAATGTAGTAATTAATTAGTCTATATATGAAAGAAAAAAAATATAAATATAAATATATATGTGTGGATTGATTTTGAGGTATGCTAAAAAGAAAACCAACCTATGTTTGTACTCAAGACATTTATATCGAGGAGTAATTGGGGGGCGGGGGGGAGGTAGAGACTTTACACTTACACGTTAACATCCTCAAGTAATTAACTTTAAATCATTGGAATGAATGAGTTAGTACTATTTCAAATTGTCTTAAATCTAAAGGGATGAAGGTTTATTTACTTGAAGAAGAAACATTAAAAGAAAAGAGAAAAACGAGCAAGGGAAGACTATAGTTAATAACTCAGCAGAAATCTTTCCATTCAAAGTATAAAAGCATCTAAAGGTTAACCCCTATGGTTCTTGAAGAGCCCTCCACACCTCCACAAAATAAAGCATGATTTCACTTTCATCCAATGCCTCGCCAGCAAGGCCATGAAGCTTCACCTTATGCGATGATGGCTTTAGATTGAGCATTGATACTTTCGGAATCCTCTCATCGCAACATTTCCAAAGAAACCAGCGAATGATATTGAAAGTGTCGCCCCATTTCTCATCTTCCGTCCTGTACTTCTTCTATTCATATTTATGCTGTCAAAGATTATATTCATTTGCCTTTAACTAGAAGTTTATGCCTTTAAAAGATTATTTTGGTACTGTCATGTCTCTAGTACTACCTCTGTTTCAAATTATAGGATTTTTTTTTTGGAGAGGTTTTCATGGCTCAAGATCTAAGAAATTTCTTTTTTTTGAAAAATATTGAAGCATTTATGATTATTTCTTTTAAAATACCCTTCTTTGCCAACCACTACCTCAAACAGTATATACAGATCCAAATCACTTTATATGAAACTCATCTTTTCTTGTACATCCATGCATAAGCATCTCAATATCTTCATTTCCACTATCCCAATTCTTGTTGTCTCATTAAAGCTTAATGTATGTATGATTGATCCCAAATATCTAAACTTGCACCCAGAAACTTCAAAAAAGAAACTGATGTACTTTAGCCTTAAAATTTTAAATCAATCTGCCCTCGACTGACAGAATTTTTTACCTTTAGCGAAAGGCATAATGCTTGGGGTTACTGGCACGAAAACACAACTGGTGCCACTGGACCTCCTTTGCCAGATTGTTAGGATGCGTCTTCTATCATCACCATAGGCCACGGCAAATAAAATTATCAATATACGTCTTCGACTACAGAAATGCACACCGTACACAAACTTCACAAAAGGAGGTGAAAAAAAGGGAAAGAGAAAGCTGAATTCACCTCCAAAAATTCGTGTATTGAATACTCAACGTTATCTATTTTCAGTTATCTATTTTTATGCACATAAAAAGAAAAAAAATGATACAATCAAATGATCATGAGAAAAAAAATGTTTACAACCGTGGAGATCAAATATTTCATCAGGCCAAATGTTTCCTGAATCATAATTGACTATCAATTGCCCATTTTTTAATTTGTGACTATGAACATCTAAAAAACATTCCCGTCAATAGTAAAATACACTCCAGCAAACAAATACATCAAATCTCCATTTCTTTCTTGAACACAGCTTCGTTTCCTTCCCCACAGCAGGTTATAAATCAGTACCTATAACAGAAATTCACCATTATCAATCTTTTTCTCAACTACATAATTGAACATAATCTACCCAGGGAGTAATATGTTGGGCATATATAGGCAATAAGAGAGCATGGAATTAAATTAAAAGAGGACCAGCTTATATTGAAGATGGTATCAATAAGGGTTTTCAATGGAAAATACATTTTGCGTTCTCATAATACCAGTTAAGAACTACAGTTCTATATGTTTTGAATAATACTTCTTGTCTAGACTTCAAGATCAACTTCAATCATAATTCAAACTAAACCCACAATCTAGTTTCTACACATCTGCAATAAATTTTTCTAGTAAAAAAATTTTTGCGGTTTTAGAATTACATGATCGGGTTGTTCAAAAAAGTTCCATTATCGGGAAACCTTGAAATAAACACCTAGGAACTTCCCCAAACTCTCTTGTTTTCTCCTTCACCATCCATTCTTTTAATGGGAGGAGGAGGGTAAACAAAATCCTCAAAAGCTGGTCAATGATAATCACGATTATTAACAGTCAGGGACTAAATTTACCTTCAACATAAGCCCAAAGTTTGTGCATAATGATCAAATCTCGAAGACGCACACAGACCAGACAGTAGCAATAACACTGCCAAGGAACTTGCTAGCATTGCCTTTTGTGAGCACGAATATCAGCAGATCTATTTTACTGCAGATGCTGAAGCAGCTGCTGCCTCTGATATTAAGGAAATAGGTTGGCGAGCCTGCAGGCAAGCACCTATATCGAAGGGGTGCAAACCAGATCCATCAAAAATAAGATTTACACCGGGAAGGACTACTTCTTTACTGTCATTTTCATCTGGCTCAGTTCTATTCGTATTATTTCCTTGAGGGGATTCTCCAGCAGGCCTTGTGATATCATCATAACCTGTTAAGGAATAAGATCTGCATGCACCATTCAAAATCATACGGCTTTAGAGACTTGGGTGGTAAGCAAAATTAAATTATGAGCCTGCAAAGTGGAAAGAGCTAGATTTGGTTTCTTACTATTTCTATCACTGCACTTGGCATAAAATATTGTCATTTAAAAAAAATCAAAATCATCTGAAAAACTTAAAAACAAAGACAAAGGAACATATAGAATGACAAGAATCAAAGAAAAGTTTCATCATCTGATTAGCTTAAAGAAAGGTCCAGGAGAAAATATTGTTTGCTATTTTATGAGAGAGCATTTGGCATTGAAGGAATAAGTGAATGCAAAAGTCTAGACAAACCTAAGAATGTTGCCATCAAAGCTCAAAATTTCAGTTCGCCCGCGCTGTCTATTAACAAGTTTTAATCTCTGATGCTCACTTGACGCCCCTGAAATCGGAGAAGAAGGGTCCAAAAGTGGGTTCCATCTTCCACTAGCATAGTTCATAAGTTGTCGAGAAGAATCCTTAGCCTGCTCTTTCTGATACAGAAGCTTTGCAGCAGGACCTGTTGCTTGGTATTCAGCACAAATGTCCCGCAACTTTTTCCTTAAGCTTTGCATTGCATCATGGTATTCACTAAATGAACCAGTTTGAAGGAAGTCTGATGAAACCACCTTCTTACATATTTTATCGCACAACTTTGGACTAAATAGAGGAATCCCAAACTCCACACTTAGTGGAACCCATTCATACTTTTCTTTAGGTGGCAAATGATCTGTTTCTTTTCCATTAAATAATTTCAACAGGCGAATGTAACCAACTGTCCACAATTCCATCTTGTTCGCCAAATCAGTCAACAGACAATTCAGCTTTGAGTTTTCTGCTTCACATAGACCTGACTCTTTTCCTACTGGAGCAATGGAGCCGTCAGAATTTTTTAGCGGCAGAGGGATATCAATAGTAATCACATTTCCAGAATCATCAAGATCACATCTACTGAGAGGTTGCACCAACAGAGCTGAATGTTTAAGAAGTGAATTTAAACAATGCAAGAGTATACTTCCCTTCACTAAGTTTCCTTCAAGCTTCCCTCCCAACCCTCCTACGGTGGAACCATCCCAAGACCATATAAGGGCCTTCTCACATCCAGCCAAGGGGGCAGGAAGCATGCGCAAGCATTGTCCTTTCATTAGTACAACTGACAATGGCCCACAAGCTACCGTTGAATACAATACCAGTTTCATCCAAGGAGTCATAGAAGAATAAGAGGGAGGACCAAAATGAACAGGGCCTGCAGGTCCAGGAAGAATTGATGAATAAGGAAGAGGCACTATTGACACAACTATATCATAGTCACGAAGAAACAGACGATCTAGAGTAGCTGGTGCAAGAGAGGCCAAGCTTTCACAGCGGAGAATATCCACACGATATTTCTTTTTCCGCTTTAATATTTCTGCTCCAACATCCGACGCATCAGCTGCTATTATTTTCTCATTATTCAGGAGATTGGCATGAGATTCACTGGCTTCTTGCTTATGACTAACGTCATCTTCCAATGTGGTAGAAGGAGTTCCATCAAGTGTGTTGCTAGAAGTAGGTTCAGAGGAAGCAAGAGCATCCTCATGCTTCTTTTTATCCAAATTTGACAAATGATCACTGTCCTTCCTGGACTCTGTGATACTGGAATCACCTGATTTATCAGCCAAGGATGTTTCAGATATTAGAGAAGCTGACTCATCATTGCTTGAAGTTAGCATACCCATGCTGTCAAATTTTTCCTCCACTTTTGCATCAGTAGCAAGTCCACCTGATTGTAAACATTCTAGTACCAATCGCAAGCTAAAAGCATGATTTGCAAATTCCTGTAGTTCACCCTCAAATTTTGCACCCTCCAAGGTACTTAGATCCTTGCAAAGATCAGCAATGCTAGCATGACCCAATTTTCCCGCTTCATAGAGTGTAACAGCATGAGATTTCAACCCTTAACAAATTTCACACAGAGGAGAGATTTTTGTCAGAGACTTCAAACATATTTAAAAAAATCAAACGAATTCTCACACACATGGGAAGGCAGAGGACTAACAAACTCATGACCTTATTGACAGTGAAACAGAAAGGCTTGCTAAAACTGCTTAGGCATAACAACCCTTTTTTGCAAGCTTTGGGACTCAGATCACAACATAGCAATTCATGGGCATTCATCTAACAGTTTAGCCTTTTAATCTGACGTGTCCCTTGACAATTAGAGCCTCAATGTCAATGAATTTAGGGTTAGACTGATGAACTTGATCCTTGATGTCTCCATTTCCATAATCAAATTAAGTTTCACCAGAATGACTGGTGGACGTGGTAAAGATTAAGATAAAGTTATTCATGGATCTTCATTTAATAATTCGTAGTTGGTTCGTCTGGATTCCTTCATAAGTTGTTTCGATCTTGCAAAAATTAAAAATAAAACGCTGGTATTTCAGCCTCAGCTTATCCGAACTCTGTTAAACATGTACTTTTAAAAGAGGACAAGAACAAGAAGGAACAAGCTCATGTCTTTGCAAATTCTTCAGCACAGTTTTTCGTGAAATCACTCGCGAAAAACCAAACAAATAGAAAAGCCTCCTGTCAAAGAAAAACAACCCAAAACAGGCATTGAAATGAAAGTCCTAACATGTGTGTCATTCATGCCAAGATGACGACATCTTGACACAAAGTAGCATGAAGAGGATCAGTTTTTGCATTGAGCATTAAGAAACCATTAGTAGGAAAAAATTGACGACAAAATGAAGGGGTTCTTTGGCCAATACTAGCTGTTAAAGCTCAGTTTCTACCTTTATTTTTCCCAACAAAATCCTGCATGCATACTACAATACATGTCCCACGTAACATTCAACCATGCCTCTCGTCAAGCCATTCAAGCAGTTGTGATCAATCTGCTATCTAACACTGAGTACATTATCAAAAGAGCAAACCAATGCAGGAAGGCTTTTTTTTTTTTTTTTCCTTTCAAATAAACCAATGCAGGAAGTTGGCTGCACCATTGTTCCAATATTCTTGTGATTATGCCGAGAAATATTTTTGATCTTAGCATCCTGTAATTTTCATTCCCATTTTTGTTTACTACAATTTCTGGAATCAGTTACAGAACCCCAGGTTTCACATCCATATTCCTATCGAATTGCCATCTATCCCTATAAAGCAAGATTCTGGGACGAGAGATTGGACACTATCATGAGCTTCAATGCACTCACATAAAAACAAAGCTAACGTACATTGGAAGTTTAGAAAACATGATTGCATGGTACCATCAGACGCTATTAAGACTCAAGGACAGAAATGAATTGTTGGAATTGTTGGACTGGAAAAATCAATCTGAAGCGTGTTTAAATTTGACAGAAAATGGAAAAGACAGCATTCAAGATACATACACCAAACTAGATTTACATACGAAATATAAAATAAATGATAAAACACCTAAGGGGGTTTTTAGGTGTTTATCCACATATCTGGAGGAGACACCTAATTATGATGGCTTTCCGCCATAGTATCAAAAATACGCCATCAAAAATCTAAGAATGGGCTTACTGTGACCTTTCATTTTCCCACTCAAAACAACTGACAGTACAAACAACAAGTCAGAAACATATCCCAGAACTTTAGAAAAAGAATTTAGGCTTTAAGGAAAACAAAGTGGGGATATGAAAATGAACAAACCTGGCGAAACAGAACCCATCATTAAATAGGATGTAATGTTAGCATCAACTATGAAAGCAACACGCGTATAGGCTGAACGAAGACCATAGTTCCCTGGTCCTGAAACATCTTGTTGATTCGTATCATTATCAACAAGCATATTCTCAGAACCCAGACTAGCATGAGAACCCTCTTCATCACTGACTACACTTCGAGGAGAAGCAGGTATGCTAATATCTTGAAGAATAGCTGATGGATCAATTACTTTTGTTGCCCATCCCAATCGGCATACAAAAGATGCAGCGGCCTGCAATTGAGATAAATCGGCCTGTAGCGTAGCTGCCAGTTCAGCAACAGTTGCATTCTCACTTGAAACAACAAAGACCGCATAAAGTAACCTGGAAAATAAGCTTCCAACTTAGACTCTTTTAATGGAAATAACATTTTAAACAAAAAGGATGGAACTGAAAATTGAAACAACTTCATTACTCTTCAATAGGATCTTCATAAGACTGCTCCCTGTTGGAAACAAAACCTTCAAGCCTGGAAACTGAACCATTATAAATTAAAAATCTTATCATAAACATAGATTTTCTACATTTATGCTTGCATATGTTACATACTTATAAAACTATGCCAAACTGAACATGTTTAGCAATTAAGCACACATACTCCAAAAAAGTAACCATACTTGTATCCAATACGATACACGTACTGTACTTCATGATACATATAACCTATTCTAACATTTTGTATTACAATTTTTATCAACAAAAAAAAAATCTTAATATTTTTTGTTGATTGCTATAATATCTTTATCTTACATTAGAAATACTTGTTAAAAACTTAAGATAATCACACTCATATCCTAAAATTTAGAAATATATATTATACATATTCCCATACCCCTCCCTTTAAATAATATAGAATCTAATCATTTAAAGCAAGGAATAAAAAATAAATATTAAATATAGAGAACACACCTTTGAATCGGTCATCAGGGTATACAGGAACATCAAAATATATCAATCCCCGTCTATAGAGACCCTTTACTATGTCAGGATCAAACAGAATAAACGAATTTGCTTCTTCTTTACAAATTTTGTCTATAGTAGCTGCTTCCTCCTCTGAGAGTTTCTATAAAGGCAAAAAAAGGGTGAGAAAGTCAACCAAAAAAAATACCCGACAATAATAAGCCTTATTCCCCTAGGTAGGGTTGACTACAAAGATTGCATGATGCCATTATGCTCTATCAATCTAGGAATGTGAAGGAAAAATTCACATTCCTAAATTAACAAAACAATCAACACTGCCAAGCGAACTTCCACTTTATTAAGATCAAAGACAGGCCTCACCTTAAATTCTTCCAAGGTAAAGTTCACAAGACAGATTCCCCACCAGGGTTCAATTGGGAAATCCACAGGCTGTGTTGGTAAAAGTTCTCTTGCAATTGACTTGTTCAGTTTCCACATGATTTTCTGGTTACTCCAAAAAAGGAAATGACAGGTGAGATAAGAAGACAAGGGGAAAAAAGCTTTCATGCTTGCAAGTCTGCTGGAAGGCATATTATTGTGGACAGAAGTGGCTGCATGTCTGAAGACCATTCCTACTTTTTCATGAAGACATTCATTTTGCAAAAGGTAAGTTTTTCTTTTGACTCCCTTAATTTACCATATTTCATTAAAGATGAAAACTAAAGATCAGGAAGTATACACGGAATCCAAGCATCATTTCTATTTTTGTATATTATTAAACAAAGGAAAATCATTGCAGTACCTTAGATCTGCACTTATTCATTATATCAATAAATTCATTTCTCCCAATTCCTGTGAGTCTTAGGGCATCCGCAGCGCTAAAATTTGGGATGCTGTCGTAAGGTTGTTCTGCAAACAATTAAAAAATGGTGCAAGCTTTTAAAGGCCATCTTTGACAGAAACATACTTTTGACATCATACATAAATACAAAGCTTACAGTAAACAATCAAACCAGGGGAGCAAGAAAAATACGGGTACATAATATGATCCATCCATTAGTGAATAATAAATCTTGTAGATTATGCATATGTCAAGATGTTACATATGCAAACAAACATATAAACTAAATCATTGATATGATGAAATCTTCTAAGCATAAAATGATGAAATCTGACAAAAAGTTGATAGAAACTGCTCTGAAAATCTCATCAAGGTAAGACTAATCTCACTAGCATGTAGGTCATAGTAAGTACTACAGACTAACACTCAGCCCTGAATATATACAACTTGCAGCCCTTCTCTGTCTCACAATCACACACATCACACCTTTGCCGAAACGTTAGTTACTGGTGCCCCTTAGCTACAGGTCCAACAAAAGGCTTAATGGCAAAAGCAAAGGTCACAAATATAACTATTGTAATGGCTGTATTTATTGTTTCTGTCCTAATAATAATAATAATTGTAGAAGCAGATCCCCAAACGAAAAAAGGAAAGGAAAGAGGGCAAAATAATAATGTTGTCAGCAAGGATACCTAGGACAATTGCTTTTAGCAATATACTTGCCTCAAGTCATCTCTTTCCTTAAAGCTTCCTCTCACCTTCCCTTTTATTTTACTTCACCATGGTTCATCTATGACACACCAATATCATTTAAATACAATATGCTTTGAACCAAAGGGGCACACGAAAGAGTTCATTTTGTGGCTACTGGTTAACCATTAACCCCTTCAGCATGGTTCATTTTGTGGCTACCCGGGATCCCAAGCCTTTTGAATATTTCATCTTGTACTACCAGTGATAGGGAGTAAGATACTATGGGCTGCCTTGATCCACTATTGAATAGCATCCACTGCTCAATGGGATGCTTAAGAAGGGTAGTTTCCTCATCTCATTGACTAAATTTTAGAGGAGGTTTGTCCTATCCAATTGGGAATCATCATTTGGTATCAAAGCTGGTGATTAAAGTCTCTAGAAAAAGGCTACTTGCGAAGGTTTCTGGCAGGTGAAGGGCTGAATAAAGTGCTGTTAAGTGTAGCCATTCAGGACATCAAGTTTCCAAGGATGGCCAATGGAGAAGGACCAAGGTGCTACAAGATGTCAAAGTCTCATATCAACTATTATGGATCAATTGGAGAGTTAAGTAGGGTAGTTCTTCTGCCTCAATAACCAAGTTGCGGACAAGAGTTCCCCGCCTCACTTAGGTTCCTATCAACAAGTATGGACCCTAAACGCATTCATTTGAAAATGTAAACTTAATACTGGAATAAGCATTAAAAACCAACAAAAAAATACCCCTCCACTAGCAACTTAAGAAATAGATACACCACCAATTCATACAAACAGCATCCATCTGGTAATCAAGAAGCTTTCAATTGCCGCAAACAAGACCAAGTAACAAAATGACAGATCTGACATGAAAAGATTCCAACAGTTCAACCTATGTACCCAAAAAGAAAAAAAAGAACAAGACCCAACGGAAGATACAATTCACTTGAGAATTGTGAATAGAGAAGTTACCATTTTTCATTACTTCAAAAATTATATCACAATAATATTTGAAAGGCGAGATTCTCATTATGCGGCAGATGTATTCTGCAAGGTGATAAGGAAATAGCTGCAAGTAGAAAAACAAAAGAAAAGGAGAAACTCATTAAACGCACATTTCCTACAACAAAAGCACAAGAAATTGGGAGCCTCACACACCATCCGAACAGTTCTAGTTATATGCTAGGTTAATTTCATTTTTTTCAGATATGCGGTGTCATAGAAAACAGATATCATCCTTTTGGTAAAAAGACAATTAAATATAATATATCACAATAATATTTGAAAGGCGAGATTCTCATTATGCAGCAGATGTATTCTGCAAGGTGATAAGGAAATAGCTGCAGGTAGAAAAACAAAAGAAAAGGAGAAGCTCATTAAATCCAAATTTCCTACAACAAAAGCACAAGAAATTGAGGGCCTCACACAACATCCAATCAATTCTAGTTATATGTTAACTTAATTTCTTTTTTTTCAAATATGAGGAGTCATAGAAAACAGATATTTTCCTTTTGGTAAAAAGACAATTAAATATAATATATCATGAACTAATACTAAAAATAAGGGAAAAAACTAAGATCTGTATTCAAAAATACTATTCAAGGCATAAAAACTTGAATGACATTTAATGGCGATGCTAAAAATTGATAAATATTTCCGTTCACTAAAACAATTGCAGCCTTTTCTCTACTAGCAAAATCCATCATCAAACTTTTCTGATCATCTAAACAAAAACCATAGCACAATTTAGCGATGCATTTGACGCACATTTTCGGAAATATGAGTCAACTAGAATTTCTATAGAGCACATACAGCCAAGTTCTTCCGCAAATAACGCATCATCTCTTCATAATATTCACTTTCTTTACAAACTTTGCGAGCAAAACAGTTATTCCATTGGAGTCTCTTCCTTATGCAGTATTCTATAATCCTGCATTAAATTTCCAGGGCCAGAAACAGAAATAAGGACCTTTAAAAATGCATTTGAAAAAGAAACCCATTTAAGGATGCTGTTTGGACAGTGACATCTATGTCAGGTAACTAAATTAAACAACTCATAGAGGCAAGAAAACAAAAGCAATAGATTTAGAAGGACGTTAATGAGGTTAATCTCACCTTTTATGCCATTCTTCTTTAGAAGAAAGAGTGACTTGAAGTCGTTTTGGAAGGTTTTCCCAAGGGCATTCTTCTTTAATAGCTCTCTGTAGCAATTGCTCCTCCACTGCCACTGGACCACGGTGCATTTTCTACTACCCAGATAGCCAGTCTGCCTCTACACCATAAAACATCATAAAGTGACCAAAAGTCATTATGGTCATGATCTCACCCCGGAGCTAAATCTTTAACATACAGAATTGATCCCAATTATGCAGAGAATAACAGTTCCAAAAGTCATCTCATAAAACTTAGCTTCGAATCGTAAGGATCCGAACTAGATTACGCGATTACCAGCTATGCTATGATAGTGATAAGGAATTCACAGAAAGTGGGAGAAATTACATGATCGTTGGTCAAAACTGAAAAAGAGTAACGGGCATTTGAGCACCCGATCTTCGTTTGAGATGCCGATTTCAGCTAGGGTTTCAAAACTCAAATCCACTGACTCTGTTTCTTCTCCTCTGAAGCAAGGATGAAGATTTTCGCACGAGATCTGCAGAGTGAAATTCGTCAGAGTTCATAGTCGCGCTGCGTTTCGCCGGTCGTTAAACCCGTTGAATTTTATCCGACCCGTTATAGTATTTTACTCTAGTTTTAAGATTTAACGTAACAGTATTTATGTTTCAAGATTTGCTTTTTGTTTCAAAAAATGTTACTAAATAAATTTACTGATCAAATTATGTAATCATTTAAATAACAAGTATTTCGCTGGCAAAAAAAAAATTTAAATAACTAGTATTTCTTTTTCTTTTGCCATCAAATAACAAGTATTCCTTCTGTTGGTTTTAATCACCATTCAATGTTATTCATATTGAAAAAGTTTCAATTTGAATTCAAGATTTGAAATTTTAATTTTTATATAATTAAATTTATTTCGCATTTGGCTAATATTCCCATCATAAAACATTCAAATGTTTATAACCACTTAAGAGAATAATACTACCTTTGGTTCTTAATATAAAAGCTAATTGATTAATTTGAGTAAATTAACAAAACTAATTAAGTTAGTTATTTGTAATAAATAGATATGATCTTTCCTGAAATATTATTGCTAATCAAGTGTATTGGTTAGAACAACCATTATTATAAGGACTACTCTAAAAAAATAAATAAATATAAGAGACAAAATAAATTAGAGTATTATATTTATGATCAAAATAAAAGTTAAACAAACTCTTATATTAAGAACTATTTCTTTTGGTCCTAAATGGTAAAGCCAAATAACTAATTTATATATATCAAACAAATTTATTAAGTTAATTATTGGTAATAAATATGTTTTAATTTTTCAAAAATATCCTTTTGGTCATCATCCCAGGAATAAAAATTCTCTTTAATATGCAATCGATAACTTTAAAATATTTATAAATTTTGGAGACAAAAATATATTGAGATATCAATTTAAGAGTTAACTCTTACATTTACAACTATGGCAAGAATATTGAAAAACGTCTCTTGCTGTTATTTTTTCTACAGTTCTTTGCATTCTCTCACGCAAACTTTACAAAAATTAAAAATAAAACAAGCCTTATAAAGAAAGACTCATGTATCTGGGGGAAAAAAAACAAAGAAAGAAAGCCTCATATCCTCGGAACCCCTAATTGTCCAAGTAGTGCTGAATCAACACCTTGTATTTTTTAAAAGATATATTCACCGCACAATTTGGGACACCCTTGTATAAAGGCTCGGTGGGCGGTTTAGTTTAAAACCCTCTTTTTAATTATGATCATTTGATTGTTTGAATTAACTTGGTTGAAGTTTTTGAAGGACTTGAAAATTGGGAGGAAAATGAGGGGAAAAAAAGATGAATGAACTTCTATATATATAGCTATATATATATATATATACACACGTACTTGAAAATTAGTTTTTTGGGAGAAATTGGTGGATTGAAGCACTTATTATACTTTTCTTTTAGTCCTCTTTCCTACTTCGTATTTACAATATTTCATTGACCCTTATTTTTTATTGGATTTTAATGATGTCAAATGAAACAGTGAAACACAAAACTGGTAAAATAGGGAGAAGGAAAAATTAAAGAGTAAATGTTATCATCTTTTTTGTTTGGATAGACGTGAGAAAATAGAAAGAAAAAATAAGCAAATATCTAAATAACTAAAATATTCTTATTAAAATATATCATATTTAAAATTATGACAAATTAAATATTGCAATAGGAATGTTATACTAACATTAGCATCATCAAATAATTTAAAATCAAGTTATTTGATTTATATATATTTATATTATCATATTGTAAAACCAAATTATTTAATAAAAAGTGAATAATCTTTTGAATATAATAAAATAAATAAATAGGGAGAGTAAGAGAGAGGACGGAAAGTCACAAAAATCTTATTTTCCTTCCCAAACCTCTCAATATATAAAAAGAAAATTTGAAGAGCAAATGAGACGTGTTGCCTATTTTATTTTCTCCCCCACTTTTCTATTCTGTTTGAATGAGAAGAAAAGTTGGTATGAGAGAACTAGAGAGAAGATGTTATCATCTTCTTGCTTGGATAGATGAAAGAAGAATAGAGAGGAAAGAAAATGAGTAAATATCTACATAACTAAAATATGTTTATCAAAATATATCATATTTAAAATTAAATCAAATTAACTATTGCAATATGAATATTATACTAACGTTAGCATCATCAAATAATTTCAAATCAAATTATTTGGTTTATATATATTTGCATAGTATTATATTTTAAAAGCAAATTATTTAATAAAAATATTCTTGCAAGATAAAAAATAAAAAGTGAATAATTTTTTTTAATATAATAAAAGAAAATAAATGTGAGAGGAAGAGAAAGGAGGGACAATCAAGAAAATCTTGTTTTTTTCCCCCTAAGTCTGCCCATATTTGGAGAGAAAATGAGATATAGAGTTTATTTTATTTTTTCTCACTTTTTCTTCCTCCCATATTTTCTCTCCTATCTAATCCTGAAAAATCTTGTGCCCATGTTGAGTTGGTGGATAAATGTATCAATTAAATGAATTTCATTAGGATGAGGATCAATTGAATTAGAATCAATTTTGAAATGATTCATTACATTGATATTTAGAAAACTCATTTCTTTTCATATTTTCTTCTCTAGTTTTCTTTCCTCCCTAATTTTATTTTAATCCAAGCAAGGGGTTCCTTCCTCCCATATTTTCTCTCATATCCAAGTAAGAAAAAAAACTGATTTCTCTCCATTTTTTTTATCTAATTTTTTTTTCTCTTTGATTTTCTCTCAATCTGAATAAGGGGTAAAAAAACGAGCTGAAGAATTTATGAACTTACCAAAAAAGGGGTCACGATGTCGTTGATGGGCTAAAATGCTTTTAGGCCTAAGGTTTTCATGAGAGGATGAGCCTAGTTAAATGCTAACTGTTAAGAAATAAAGCAATTGAGGCTCGTGTTTTGCATTGTCATATTTTCAATTTTAAGAGTTTGGCAAAAACAAAAAAAATGGTTAAGAGTTTAAAATTTGAAATAAAATCATTTTGCTTATTTTAAATTCCTGCTTGCAGCATTATTCTGAACAATCATATATCGATCATAAAGTCTCGAAGTAGAAAGTGATTTTCACATATTTATAAAAACCTACAATCCTTTAATAGAACAACGAACAAACTAAAAGTTTCTTTAAATCATTAATTAAATGAGAAAGGTTGAACGGTTGATAATTAATTCAAATAACATAAGTTGATGACATGTCTGTATCAGAAAGAAAAAAAGTTGCTAATACGTGGAAAATTTTATTCACATGATGATCAAATAGTACATAGCATACAAATGAACGCAAATCACTTGAAATTCATTAAAAAAAAAAAAGGGAAAGACAATCATTAAAATATACAGTACATTACATTCCAATCACTGACAAGATATTTAAGAAACATGAAATAATAACCATAGTGGAAACATGGAAAAAAAAAGGATGACACAATATATCACATGAAGCCACATTTTGTGCCTAATTCACTCTTCTTGGATTCCGATGGGCTCTTTTCCTTGTCTTTTTTGCTTGTTTCTTAGGCCTAGCTTGAAAAATTCTGACAAGCCCTTTAGGTTTTCCAGTTAAGAAAACAATTTGACCCATGAATATTCCAAACACCATCCCACATCCATATCCCAAAGCCACTGGTTTCCAACCAAATCCAAATTTGTCATTACTTGATGAAGTTGGTTGTGGCAATTTCCCTTCATCATGATTACATGCTTTTGACAATTGAAATCCACACAGTCCTAAATTTCCCTCAAAAGAATATTGTGAAAATGTATCAAATTGCTTACCTCTTGGTATTTCTCCGACAAGCTGATTTTGTGAAAGATTCAAAACTTCAAGAAAGTTGAGATTTGCTAGTGCAAGAGGAATCTCACCTTTAAGCAAGTTTGATGATAAATCCAACGATTCTAGGTTTGTCAAGTTTGCAATGGATTGAGGAATCGGACCAGTGATTTTATTGTGGGAGAGATTAAGCCCCTTAAGTGAATGTAGCTCACCAATAACATGTGGAATCTCTCCATCAAACATGTTTTTTGACATATCAATGGATGTGAATGTAGTTATGATCTTTACCAACTCCAAATCAACACCTTTCAATGTGATCATCACTGATTCTTGATAATAATAAAATGTCTTACGGATTTCCAAGTAATCTAGTGTGGCTGAAACAAAGTCAACATTCATCATTCCTTTAAATTCCTTGATGTATGTTGTTGGCAAAGATCCGCTAAAGCGATTGTTGGAAACATCGAAAATTCTTAACATGGGGAAAGGATGTTTGGTGTTGGAACTATGAATGGCACCATAGAACTTATTATCTCTTAAAATGAGTACCTGTAGCTCTGGTAAGCCTTCAAGCCAATTAGGAAATTTGTCATTGATCTTGTTTGCTCCCACATCTAAAATTTGTAACTGCTTGCAATGGGTTAAAGATAAAGGCAACCATCCCTCAAATTGATTGTTGTTCAAATGCAAAGATTCCAAATAAATGCCCCTAGAAAAATTGTCTGGTATAGATCCGACAAAATTATTCAACTGCAGATCTAAACTCTCAAGATCTGGGAGAGCAACAAGGCACTTTGGGATGTGGCCTGACAAGTTGTTGTGGGATAAGTTGAGTATCTCAAGTGAGCTTGCATTGCAAAATGAGGAAGAAATGTGTCCACTTAATTTGTTGTTGGACACTGAAAAGAATGCAACATCAAATGATGGAATTGGAAGATTTCCTAGCAACAAGTTGAAGCTGAGATCAAGAGACATCAAGTTTCTCATTGAAAGATGTTCAACTGATGTCAAGTTATTATGAGAGAGATCCAAAAATTCCAAAGAACCATTCCCCACATTATTAAACCATTGGGGAATATCTCCACGAATTTTGTTATTGGAAAGATTTAACCACTTCAAATTTTGAAGGCTTTCTAATTGTTTAGGAAAGTCATTGATGCTGCAAGAGGATAGATCTAACATTGTAAGATTGGGAATGGTATAGTGGACATCATTATGAGAGCTAAGTGAGAGAAACTTGTTGTTTGAAAGATCAAGATATTCTAGATTTTGAAGCTTTGAGAATTGATGAAGACTAATAGGGCCTCTCAAATTATTTGATGACAGACTTAGATGGGAAAGATTTAGGAAACCAAAAATTGACTCAGGAAGACCTTGCAACTTATTATCATCAAGATATAACTCCTGCAAATTTGGAAGGCCAACGAATTTCGAAAAGATAGTGATATGACAAGAATCTAAATATAAGGCCTCAAGATTGGGAATGGTGTAGTTAAGATTATTATCAGAGGCAAGTGAGAGAAACTTGTTACTTGAAAGATAAAGATGTTCTAGATTTTGAAGCTTGGAAAATTGGTAAAAATTAATAGAGCCACTCAAGTTATTTGATGATAGACTCAAATAAGAAAGATTTATGAGGGTGAAAATTGACACGGGAAAATTACCTTGTAGCTTGTTGCCAGAGAAATCAAGAAATTTCAAATTTGAAAGATTTCCAAACACATCTAGCAACAAGCCACTAAAATAATTTTTACTGAGGTCCAATGAAGTGAGACTTTGAAGATTTGAAAGAAATGAAAGCTCACCACTAAAATTGTTTTCTGGAAGGTTCAAATCAGTTAATTGAGTGAGGTTCCCAAAACTTGTAGGAATAGGCCCATGAAATTGGTTATTCCCAAGACCCAAAAAATCAAGAGACTTCAAATGGCCTATGGAATTTGGCAAGAGACCATTAAAATAATTGTCACTGAGGTCCAATGAAGTGAGACTTTGAAGATTTGAAAGAAATGAAAGCTCACCGCTAAAATTGTTTGTTGCAAGATTCAGATCAGTTAATTGAGTGAGGTTCCCAAAACTTGTAGGAATAGGCCCATCAAATTTGCAATCTTTAAGACTCAAAATATTAAGCGACTTCAAAGACAAGGAGCTTGGTGCAGTGGAAGACATATTTACATTATCTAAAACAAGTTCTCTCATATCAGTCATGTTTAGAGCAAGCTTCTTCCAAGTGGATGGTTCAAGTCTTAAACTTAACCATTCATCATATGAGGAAAATCCATTCCCAGACAAATCAAGAGAGACCAACTTAGACAATTCTGCAATTTTAGGAGAAATTTCACCAACAAAACCAGAATAGCTTAAGTTTAGATGCATGAGAGTGGAAAGACCACTAAAATGAGATGATATCAAAGACCTACTAAAATCGTTGTAAGCCAAGTTGAGTGTTTGGAGATGAGAAAGTCGGAAGAGGCTATTGTTTGGATGGAGTTGACCTTTGAGCCAACTACAGCTAAGGTCAAGACCAATCACATGACCAGACATGGAGTCACACATGATCCCATCCCACAAGCAACAGTTTGAATTATTTCCCCACGAAGCTGTCTTTGGATAAGATGTGTTCTTAAACTCATCACACTCCATCGAAGCAGAATGATTAAGAGAGAGAGAGTTTTTAAAATGAAAAAGAGCAATGGAATCATGAGAATTACATAATGGGGGGTTGAGAGAAGAAAGGGAAGGAGAAAGAAGGAACAAGCAAAAACAGATGGTGATTCGAAATGCCATGAGCGAAGTTAGGAGGCTGTGAATATCAAGGAGTGAAGGATATGGTATCTAACATATGAGGCTTCTTTTATAGGCAGAGCTACGCATGATAAAAGGCTTGTCATAGTAGTTGTTGGCTCAAGTCACTTTCTTCTTCCAACTTGGATTGAAGAATTTGATGGGAACTAAAATATAATCAGAATTGATTAAAAAAAAACTAACATGAAATATTCTCACCATTAAAAACTGGTTGGTTTCAGTATATAAACTTTGGGCTTGTAAACACAAATTAATTTTAGTACACTGTGTATTTAATTCTTATAATTCCTAATTGTAAATAGAATTATAAGCCATTTTTTCCTACCATAACAGAATTATAAGTGAAGTCTTTTATTTCTATTATTTAACGCGTAATACATTCACTGACATGTTGGTCATGACAAACAGATTTGCTGATAACATCACTGTAGCCCTTACTCATAATATAATATTTCTTTGTATTATAGCTTTAATATAGAATAATATTCCCAAGGTAAGGGCCTGTATACTAGCAAGTTATTAAAAAAATTACTTTTGCAAAAAATAATTAAACTAATTTTATTTAATGAGTAGTAATTAATAGACTGTCATGGTCGATGAAAATGAAATATTAAAAATAAAAGAAAAAATTGTGCTACCCAATTTTATTTTGTAGAAGGCTTACGTATTACGTATATCTTTTAAATGGAATAGAAATTTTTATAATTAAGGAAAATAAAAATAAGTTCATTATATCATATATATCGAGAGAGGGGCAGAGGCTACCAAGAAAAAAGTTATGTTTCCTTGGACATTAAAAAAATGAAAGACTTATTAAGAGAATTAACTTTAAAAAAAATCTATTTTACATTTTACAACAGCATATTCCTCTCATATACTTATTTTGAAAATATAAAATCACTTAAAATAAATTAATTCAAATATTCACTTGACAACAAGGATAGGAGGTAGTATTTGAATACAAGGAGGGTGGGAAAAATATAAGAGATTACCATATTATCCAAAAAACAATTGGCATTATTTTTTGTCAGATTTTTTTCGGCTTTATTTGAATGGCGTGCTAAAAGGTTTGGAAGTGAGAAATTTCAAAATCGTCCTTCATTGTCCAGCTGCCATTAATTCATTTTTGTCCCAAAATTTTGATTTTGAGTATATACACACAGAAATAGTATACCATAAGTTTGATACTATAAATTAAAAGGGAAAATGAAAAAAATAATTTTGTTTGATAAAATTTAATGCTTATACGCCTATTTAGAAAAAATCATTTAAAACAATGAAAAAGAGGGAATAATTATTATATCAATATATATAACAAATACGTGCCCTAAAAAGTTTTCAGTTGCGAATTATTTTTCCATAAGCGTACCAAACGGGGAAGAAGACTTGCCTTTTTTGGGGTAAAGAAGACTTGCCTTTTGCGATGCGGCTGAAATGAAAAATAATCGAAGAAAACCCACAGCCAAGTAAATTGTTAACAAATACTCCTCCGGTCCTTATTATAAGACCCAATTTGACTTTTTATTTGGTCCTAATTATAAGATCCCAATCCATTTTGTCTCTTATATTTATGCATTTTTTTCCAAGATAATCCTTCTAATAATGATAGTTTTAGCCAATATACTTAATTAGCAAGGATATTTTAGGAATGACAACACTTATTTATTATAAATAACCAACTTAACTTACTTCCTTAATCTTCTCAAATAAGTCAATTGGGTCTTATAATTAGGACCGGAGGAGTAAAAAACAATATTAAATTATCTTATCCACTCATTTCAGTTGCTTCCCCAACCCTCACTAACTCTTTATCATCAATTGGACTTGAATGGTTCTAACTTCAATGCCACTCAAACCGTTAAACAAGTTATAAATTTCTTGTTATTGGCTAGCTATCCATATGGTGATAGAGAAAGTAAAACTTTTCTCCTCCCTTTGAATATACCTTACAATACACGTTACAAAATAATACCCATACAAGTATGAGAAAATTGGGAAAAAAGATCTTCCATTTAAAATTTTATTTGTGTGAAAAACGTAATAATTTTTTATACACAAAAAGCACCGATATTTTTTACTTTGCAAATTCTGTACACACAAAATATCGGCACTTTCATTTAAGTCTTTTTCACTAATAAAATTTTCAATTGGAGACGTTGACCCAATTTTACAAAGAAATCATAGATGTATTTGATATTAAAAATGAAGAGGGAAAATTAAAAAAAAAAATTTTACTTCATAAGATTTAATGTTTATGCCCCTATTTATAAAGAAAAAATATTTGAAACAATTAGAAATGGGGAATAATGATTATATCACTATAATAAATCCACTACAAAGTTCTCATTTACAGATCACTCTTCCATTAGCGTACCAAACGACCAAAAGACTTGCCTTTGCCAATTAATTATGATTGAAATGAAAGGGAAACAAAGAAAATTAATGCAGAGCCAAATAAATTCTTAGAAAATGAAATATTAAATTATCTTCTTGACCCTTTTGAGTTGACTCCTTATGACATAAATTCTTCTCTTCAATATGTCGGGTTGACCCCATGTCGCAAAGCTTTGGAAGCGGAACATCTTCACTAATTTCCCTCCTCACTTTAACATGTGACATTTATTTAGTAAAAATGTTATTATAATATTAAATATTGAATAATAAAATAGATAGATAAATTTATAGTATTAAAATTTGATGTGAATAGTTTGCAATGCTAAATTTTTTATTACATTTAACATTATAATAATGTTTTTATGTAGTTTCGGATTTCAACCATTAAAAGTTAATATAACGGCAGAGACATTACGTGAAAAGAGAATGAAGAGAAAAGTTAGTGAAAATGTTCTTCTCCCGATTTGGAGACCCTTACTAATACTTTATGATCAATGTATGGCCGAAAATTCTCACATCAATTTTAACCGTAAAATCCTAAAATTTTTTCAATAACTATACGGTTAAATTTTAGTTATTTACATACAACAATGTATTGTATTGTGGTACGAAAGACCCAAATTCTGTTTGAAGAAATAAAGGGAGGCGAAAACATAAATTTAAAGAAATTATCGAGAAACAATTTTTTTCAAATAACACGTTTGTCCGCCAAAGTTTACGGGTCAATGTCCATTGTAAGCGTGTCAAGTGGTGAATTTTTGAGATTCCATTGGGAAGTGTTGCAGCCGACAAAATTTGAAGACTTCACAAATCTAAAACTAAAATTGAACAATTTGTCTCAAAAATTCATAAATTGATATTTGCGTGTGTAAGTATAAACACGTTACGTTACGTGAATCATGTATTTAATTTCCTATTAAACCTTAAATTCGAAATATTTTTATTAAGAGGTCAAAATTTCGAAGCTCAATTTATTTTGAAGTTTATTATGAGATATATACTCTCCGATCTTATTTATAAATCATATTTAACATGTTTCATTGAGATAGAAGGAAAAAACCTTAAACATTACTATCTTTGATCTTTAATATAAAAACTAATTGTAGATTCAATTTGATCATAAATATAAGATTATAATCCTTTTTATTTATCATATTTATCCTTTTTTTTCTTCAAAGTAATTCTTACTGTGATTGCACATATTAAAGGTTCCAAGATCGAGCGACTCTAATGCACATGATTAACTAGAGTATTTAGGCAAAATAATATATTATTACAAATAATTAACTCAACTAACATTTTAATATTCACAAATTAGTTATCTAGCTCTGATATTAAAAAACTAGAAGTAGTATTAACTTTATCTTAAAATTTAATAATTTTTTTATTTTGTGCTTATTTTATATACATTATACGATATGAGAATAAAATCGACATAATAATAAATGGCAAATAAAATAAAATTGTTTGCAAAAAAAATTATGCATTCATATGAAAAATTTAATTATACATCTTATAAATGAGATCAAATAAGAATTTTCTCTATACCTTATAAATAGGAAAAGAGGAGTATTATATACAATAAAATCATACAAATATATAAGCTACACATGAAACCGTATACATTAAACTGTTCGTAAGAGTACTCGACTAAATTAGAGATGAAAGGGGAAAAATCATTTTATTTGATAAAAATGAATTTTTATGCCTTCATTTTTATTATAAAACATTTGAAACAATAAGAATGTAGGAATAATGGTTATATCAGTATAATCAATGCCCTACAAAAGTTTTCAATTATAGGATTGTTTTTCCATTAGCGTAACAAACGGGGGAGA